ACACACATGAACATACACAAAACACACATGCGCACGCACACATATGAACACATACATGAGGACACATGCACACACCTACGAACACACACATGAATACACACGAATACACACACATGAACATACATGGACACACATGAACATACACAAAACACACATGCGCACGCACACCTATGAACACATACATGAATACACATGAATACACACACACGAACACACATACATGAACACACATGCACACACATGGACACACATGAACATACACAAAAACACACATGCACACGCACATATATGAACACATACATGAGGACACACGAACACACATACATGAACACACATGCACACACATGCACACACATGAACATACACAAAAACATACATGCACACGCACACATATGAGCACATACATGAGGACACACGCACACACCTACGAACACACACATGAGTACACACGAATACACACACATGAACACACACAAAACACACATGCGCACGCACACATATGAACACATACATGAGCACACACGAACACCCATACATGAACACACATGCACACACATGCACACACATGAACATACACAAAAACACATGCACACGCACACATGCACACGCACACATATGAACACATACATGAGCACACACGAACACCCATACATGAACACACATGCACACACATGCACACACATGAACATACACAAAAACACATGCACACGCACACATGCACACGCACACATATGAACACATACATGAGCACACACGAACACCCATACATGAACACACATGCACACACATGCACACACATGAACATACACAAAAACACATGCACACGCACACATGCACACGCACACATATGAACACATACATGAGCACACACGAACACCCATACATGAACACACATGCACACACATGCACACACATGAACATACACAAAAACATACATGCACACGCACACATATGAGCACATACATGAGGACACACGCACACACCTACGAACACACACATGAGTACACACGAATACACACACATGAACACACATGAACATACACAAAAACACATGCACACGCACACATGCACACGCACACATATGAACACATACATGAGGACACACGCACACACCTACGAACACACACATGAATACACACGAATACACACACATGAACATACACAAAACACACATGCGCACGCACACATATGAACACATACATGAGGACACATGCACACCTACGAACACACACATGAATACACACGAATACACAGACATGAACACACATGAACATACACAAAACACACATGCACACGCACACATATGAACACATACATGAGGACACATGCACACCTACGAACACACACATGAATACACACGAATACACAGACATGAACACACATGAACATACACAAAACACACATGCACACGCACACATATGAACACATACATGAGGACACACGAACACACCTACGAACACACACATGAATACACATGAATACACACACATGAACACACATGCACACACATGAACATACACAAAAACACATGCACACGCACACATATGAACACATACATGAGGACACACGAACACACCTACGAACACACACATGAATACACATGAATACACACACATGAACACACATGCACACACATGAACATACACAAAAACACATGCACACGCACACATATGAACACATGCATGAGCACACATGCACACCTATGAACACACATGAATACACACACGAACACACGTGAACACACATGAGCACACACATGAATTCACATGAACATACACGAGCACACACGAGCACACACAAAACCAGCAGACAAGGTCATTTCTCTTGACTTGCTGGCTCCAGCAGAGGACAATGATTAGCTTGAGGCGGAGGCTGGAGACTGCTGGGCCACCCTGGAGCTCACTCACCACGGAGCTTCGTGTGTCCCGGTCCCCAGTCCACTGACTCTCCTCATACTCGTTCCTGACTCGGTCCTCCTCAGACCTTCCAGGACGAAAGTGTAGATGAAAGTCCTGAGCCCCCCCCCCCAACGGAGCCTCTCCCGCTTACCCTGCCTCTGTCTTCTCTGAGATCTCTGAGAGAAAGAGGAAAAGGGGGCTTCAGAGACTCTGCTCAGCCCCCCTGGATGTGGGCAGAGCCGCGCTGTGTGGCAGCCCCAGGGTCCCACCGTCGCTTCTCCAGCTTGAAAAGCAGTGAGGGAGACCTCTGCTCACCCTCTGCAAGGCGCCTCCGTCTTCTCCGCCACAGGAGCCCCCCAAAACAGCAGGCATTGGAGAGCAACAGAAGACCGCCAA